GTACCGCGCCCAACTATGGCTGCAGTGACTGCTGGCACGGCTCGGGTACGTTCACTCATTTCTTCATCTTGTCCCTCTCATCGATCTCCATAATTCTATCATACTGTTCTTCTCTAGCCCCCACCAACTAACCAAATGCACCGCCAGGTGATGCAGGCACCTGTACCTGGGAACACTTCTGCTGCCGTCAGATTCCACAATACAGCTCGCAACGTAAGTGCACAACCACAGCAAGTCCTCCGATCGGGTCCACGGCCTGCTGGCGTTGGGGATCAGCCGTACGTTTCAACACTGCCCAACTTGAGCAGTCTCTCCGAACATGAGCAAAAACAGTATCTAGGTGAACAGATCTTCCGAAAAATCGAGAAGATTCATCCCGAGCTCGCCGGAAAGATTACTGGAATGCTTATTGGAATGGAAACTTCGGAGCTAATCCAGATGTGCGAATCAGACGAAGTTCTGCGCAACAAGGTAGTTTACTTTTCCCATTATGTTTAGTTAGCACAGCGCGTGCAGTCTATAATGAGTTTCCTGGTTCCCATCCCTGTATTTGCTGTAGTAGTTTGTTTGGGGTAGCACCTTGCACACCAAAATGCCACCCCGTGCGCATCTTTGCACCTTACCTGGATTCAATGTTATCATGCAAGAGCAAGATAGCCCAGATGCCTGATTGTTAAATGTCATGTGTGCAGCTATCGGTCAGAAACACAAAAGGAATAACTTTAAATTTAATGCTTCTTTAAATTCTCTTTCTGCTGCCAATTTTTTTTAAATCCTCAAACCGCTTTTTATCTTGCCTTAAATATTTAAATAGGTCCAAGAAGGCATTGCCGTACTCAAAAAGCGGGACGAAGTCAACTCGGCTGCACTTGAATCCAATACTAGCGCAGCGGGCCAAACTGGGGACTCCGCAAAAGGTGGCGCAACTGAGGGCGCCAAGCAGTAACGTCGTGAATGTGAGGAGTCTTTTTCACCGAGCTCTAAGCACACGTTGATGTTGGTGTTCTCATTAATTATCTAAATGGTTATAAGACTTTCTCTTCTCCAATCGCCTGTTCCCGATCGCGGTCAGCATAGTCCTTTCTGGGCATTGCGCTTGCAACTTTGAAAGTGGATTACGCAACATGTGGTGATGCTGACCAAAGACTGTTGTCTGTTAGTTAATAAAATTGTTGCCATTTATGCGGGGTGTTGCCATGAGTTATTTACCCTTTATAGTCATAAATTCTCACGGAGCAAGTCTGGTAAAATCTTGCTGTCTCCTTATAAACAGGTGTTGTACGGGCACAAAGTTTTTAAGGCTTTCCACGTCCGGGCACATCTATCTAGTGTTAAACAGTGACCAGCACATCTCTGGCTCTCGCATCTTTCGTTGAGTGCAATTAGTAAGATGATTCCCCGTTTGAGGTGTACTTTTAGGGTTAAGTTCCTAGCGTAGGCATGCATACATGTTCTCTACCGTGCAATTTTGCTGATTATAGTGCTTGGAGTTCCGACCAGGGAGTGAGGTGCCCCTGACTGATTTGCTGGCGTTAACCACTGAATCTGCAAAGCAAACCTGGTTATGTACTTATAATCGTGGTGTCGACGGCTTTGGATTGTTGCCCCTGCATAGGTTTCTCCCGGACATACAGTCCAGGAGTCTGGACCTTGACATTCATCCCCGGAAGAAACACGCGGGGATCATGTCTGGCTTGTCGTTGCGCGGACTTCGTCGATGTGTAGTCTCTCCTTTAGCGTTGACGTTGGCGCGACTCACCTGTTGGCTGACACGTGGGATGTCCCAGAAGTAAAGTGTAGGTAGGTCTTAACCACGTGGAAGCCGAGGGTTTGTCATTGTTGCTGAGTGCTTCTGCTGTTAGTGGCTGGTAAAATCCACATAAATTAACTTTGTCTACGAAATAGAGGGGCTAGAGTTTGATAAAAGGTCACAGATTTGCGATGATGATGCTAGCAAGGTGCACAAGGCTAAGTTCTAGAAGGCTGGCGATTTCTTTAGGTGTGCCAGATTCCTGCGACTGACAATGCGCGTAAGGATTGCTATCGAATAATCTGGCACTTGGGTTGAACACCT